CAGCAATGAAAGGTGTGGTGGACCGGCATCGTAAGGTTAGCAGACCTCGATGATAATAGGGCCGGTACAGCATGATAAGATGACAGAGCGTGAATTCAAGACTTGTTTTCTCCGCAAAGAACCTCATCATCAATACCACCCGCCAAAACAACGGGTGAATCTGTGCCATGGTGACCCGGTATTTCAGATAGAAATCAAGCAGAACTCTATCAAGGGGGCCTAGTGTGAAGGGGTACGTGTATACGTTCCAAAACCCCTCAACATGATCCATAATGCTCTCACTTGGGGGAAAGTACCCGCAGTACTACCTTCTCCCCCCATCCACAGTCCCTCCTCACTGACTCAAGGTGCTCCTCTCCCACTAAGGAAATAAACTTCGAAACATACTCCCGATGACCCCAAGCATTTTGGTTCAAAAAGCCTCCAAGGGTGGAACTCCCCTCTCCTCGCCGAGCGGACCTTGGTGTGGCATCCATAACTGTGGTAAAACTAGAAAATCTGAGGAAAGCCTTCAAAGCTGAAATAGCGAAAGCCTTAACACGGGAAAGGAAAGCTCTACAGAGGAGGATGACTACTCGGAATAGCAGAACCCCCAAAAGAAGGAATATAACCCTATATGTGGAGAAAACGGCGACTATCCGCCTGCCTCAAAGGCCAATTAAAAATGATAACTGAGACATTTCTCGCTTTGGGAAAATGTATCAACGGAATTGCCTCGGTCATTTCGTGACCATGTCATACACTTGACGTCGCCATACGACGCCTTGGGGTCAGAAACCCCCGCATCGACCAAGCCTCGAGATGGTACCCGATCTCGAGGACCTCCGTCAAAAAGAAGATAGGCTCCAAGAAGCCATCGGCATCATTACAAGTCCCGAGATGGTGCCCGATCTCTAGGACCTCCACCAAAAAGGATATAGGTTCCGGAAAGCCAATGACATCACTACACGGCCCGAGATGGTACCCGATCTCGAAGATCTCCACCAAGAAGGAGATATGCTCCAAGGGGCCATTAACATCATCCTAAGCCTCGAGATGGTACTCGATCTCGAGGACCTCGCTCAAAAGAGGATAAGCTCTGAAAACCTACTCATATGGGCTTGGCCTCGAGGTACTATCTAAACCCGGATAAGCCCCATCCGAAATCTATCTGCTATGCCTTAAGGCTATCTACACTAAGTTCAAAGCAAACTTCCAGGTAGCCCGAGCTTGAGCGAACCCCCGCTCGGGGACTGTTCCCGAAAGCCTAAAGGCTGTCTTTATTCTCAGACCCCCGAGCAAATCCACCCGTCGAGGTCTACCGCGGGGTCTAAAGGGCTAAGTCTCGCACTAAAAGTTCAAAGCCCCACTCTCATTCAACTCGAAGCCAGGGATTCCGACTATCCGAGTTTATCAATCCAATCCGGACCCGGTCCAAGGAGCGGCAAAGTTTCTATAGGGAATTGTGTTAATCAATCAAGAGCCAGAGAAATACTTACGCCCGGGTTTGTTATTCGTACCGGTCAGTGGAATCACGCATTCAGATTCTTCGCAAATGCAGATAAAAGGAAATAAAGCATAAATCAGAGGCAAATTGAAGAAACATCTTTTCCATTAATAAACAACGGTTACAAAGCCCACGAGGGGTCCTTACACATAAACAAAGAAGCAAAAGAAAATACATACAATTAAAACCAATAGTCTAATCTATCCTCGGGGTGTACCCTCGGCGGCAGTATGTTCGAACACCGCCTCCTCGGTAGCCTCGTCTCGATCTTCTAAAAAGTCATCTTCAAGGGAGAAGATGAAAAAGAGGAAAGTGATGCGGAAGAAGCAGAAAAAGATGAAGAAAAAGCCGTAGCCCGCCAAAGGTCAAAAGCTTTTACCAGGCCAAAGAAATCACGGCCCGGTAGAAGACTTGGCAAAGCGCCAACCTCACTTGCATGGCTACTTTGAGTCCACTTCTTGGAACATTGAGGCGTGCAAAGCTAACGGCCGGTAGCGCCACATCACCCCACGGAAAATAAAAGGGATGAAGTGCCACACCAGGCCGGAGTAGGAAGGTGAGCAGTGGTGTATAGTCCGAACACCCTCATGAGCAGCAGTGTAGAGTCCAAACATCTCCCTAAATCGGAAGAAGTCGGCCCCCCTATCTTATCGCCTCGAGCCAAAGACGACAGCGTTAATAACAACAACAACAACAACGACGACGACGACGACGACGATGACAAATCAATGCGATCTCGCTCGGTAAGGGAAAGCCTTGGAAAAAGGCCATGGCATGGCTGATGGGAAACCGCCATGTAACCTTAAGGCCGCAGGCCTCGAACATGGGAGATAACAACGGGTAAGGATGAAGAGAAGAAAGGAGCGGAAAGATATTGGAAGACACTTGAATGAGGAAGTGGTTCTAGGGGACTTCCATTTATAGGGGGTGGCAGTGTAACGGGCGGCCCCATTATTGTCTTTGAAAGACGTATCGGCAGGCGCAATCAATGCGTTTTTTGGGAACTAAAATCGACGGCGATATTGTCACTTGGAGAATCAGAATTGGCAATACGTTGAATGACACTGAAAAGATGAACCGATGGGACGCCTCAGTTATCGTGAAGGCTTACGTCATAAGTATGACATCATCGCGGAAAAGTTTGAAGAGATGAATATCAAAGTCGTTTCTTATCGTTCCACTTTAAGAAACGCAGGGACTATCTGTATACGGTGAAATCGGAGGGTCCAATTTTCGGCCACTATAACGCCTCATAAGCAAAGCTCTCCAAAGGCTCGGGACTACGGTCGAGATTTAACCCGAAGGGCCATCGATGTCAAACCTTGAGACAGTGCAAGTCGACAGCTATGATAAAAAAGTGGGAAGTTCCCTAGGCGCACGACTGGGGCTGACAAAGCCTAGAGGTCTAGCCCTGACCCGTATCAGGGCATTAGGTGGCTATACCTGCCCCATATCTTTGTAATTAATGTATTTTGTACTATGTTCCCCCTCATATATAAAGAGGAATCCTTGTCATTTGGGAGACATATGTTGCTCAATACTAAAATACACAAGAACATTCTCTCTGCTCTCTTAAGCTTTTTACTTCCATTTATTATTTATATTCATTGTGTTATATTTATTGTTCTTTATTTATTGCCTATCATTGATCATAAAGAGCCATCTTCGTAGCTCTCGTAAGGTGCTAACCCTCCTTCGATCGCCCAAAGTAAATCGTCCAACTCGACCTCGAAGCCTCAAATAATCAAGCTCGAGGCCCCGATCCCCAACTGTTCGGTTCAATTATCATACCGCCTCTAAGCTAAAATCTTAATTTCTAATTTTTTACTTAGCATCCATCGCTTAACAACCAGCATAAAAATAGATCACGTATTTTTAGAACCACAAAATTAAATTTAATTGTAGTTACCATTTTCATTGTAAACACCACCTAATTTACGTGACCGAGTAAGGAGAAATTATATACAAAATGGACCTTGTCAACCTCATTTTTTTGTCTTTCCAAAAAGAGATTTTGGCGGAATAATGCGTCACTTTAACCCTGAATGGTTTAACACATCATGTTCTCAATGGTTAGAATATAGCATTAAACAAGATGCAACATTTTGTTTATGTTGTTACTTGTTTAAAAATAAGGTTGGAGGAAATGGAAAAAAAGTAGGTGATGCTTTCACAACGGATGATTTAAGAGGTTGGACTAAAGGTTTAGAAAGGCTTAAATCACATGTGGGTGACGTGAATAGTGTTCATAATCGGTGTTTCAAGATGATGCTAGATTTAATGAATCAAGCACAATCTATTCTAACATCTTTGGACAAGCAATCTAAAAAAATTAAAAGTGAACATCGAGTTTGCTTGAATGCTTCAATTGACATGATAAGGTATCTTTTAAAAGAAGGAATACCTTTTCGGGGCCATGATGAGTGTGTAACTTCTACAAGAAGAGGCCATTGTTTAGATCTCTTAAGATGGTATGCAAATAGGAATGAAGATGTGAAAAATGTGGTATTAGAAAAAGCTCGAAAAAATAGCACCATGACTTCTCCTGATATTCAAAAAGATATTGTGAATTCTTGTGCAAAAGAAATGGCGAAAGCAATTATTGAAGACTTGAATGGGGATTTTTGTGGGATATTAGTTGACGAGTCTAAGGATGTCTCTCATAAGGAACAAATGGCTCTTGTTTTGCGCTATGTCAACAAGAAGGGTGAACTTATTAGAGATTCCTTGGTCTTGTTAATGTTAAAGATACAACTGCACATGCATTACAAAAAGCAATAAATTCTTTGCTTTTACAACATTCATTGAGTTCATCTCTAATACGGGGACAAGGGTATGATAGAGCTGTAACATGCAAGGAGAAATCAATGGCTTAAAGCTTTGATTCTGAAAGATAATCCTTCGGCATATTGTGCACATTGCTTTGCTCATCAATTGCAATTGACTCTTGTGTTGTTGTAATGAAACACCATGATATAAATAATTTTGTTGACATTCTTGCTAATATTTTGAAAGTTGTTGGAGGTTCTTATAAGCGTAGGGAGATGCTTAGAGACGATCAAGCTGAAAAATTAGATGAATTATTAGTGCTTGGTGAAGTTCATCCAGGAAGTAGATTAAATCAAGAACTTGGGCTTCAAAGATCAGGTGATACCCGCTGGGGATCTACTTTAAGACATTGCGTTACTTTATTTCTTTATTCTGATCAATTGTTCATGTACTTGGAGTTCTTGCAAATGAGGTCTCAAATTATCAAGAGAAAGCATTGGCAAAAAGTCTAGTGGAAGATATAAGATCTTATGAGTTTGTGAATATATTACATTTGATGTTAAAATTTTTGACAATTACATATGATTAGAATATGGCTCTGCAAAGAAAAGATCATGATATTGTAAGTGCTATAAAACTTGTTCATTTCACAAAGAGGCAATTGCAAACAACGAGGGAATCTAAATGGAATTCTTTGTAGAAGATGTCTCTTCGTTTTGCGATAAGAATGGTATTGTAAACAAAAATGGATGAGAAGTATGATCTTGGAAAGTCGAAGCATAAAAGCTTAACTGTTACATATTCTCATCATTTGCACGTAGAAGTTTATTGTGCCGCTATTGATTTGCAACTTCCGGAGCTTAACAGTCATTTTAGTGAAGTGAATATTGATCTGCTTCTTGGTATGGCTAGTTTGAGTCCCGATGATTATTTTTCAAATTATGATAAAAACAAGATTATGAAACTTGCTACATATTATCCAAATGAGTTCACTGCTTCCAAGCTTGAAGATCTTAGTTTTGAGCTTGACAATAATATTGACTATGTGCGAGAAATGGACAATGCATTCTCTAACTTGAAAGGGCTTGGCGATCTCTCGAAGACATTGGTTAAAAAAAATATTCACAAGACATCTTGTTTATTTGCTTGTGAAGCTGAGTTTGATATTACCTATGGCTACTGCAACGGTTGAAAGAGCTTTTTCTTCAATGAAGTTTATTAAAAATGACTTGCGAAGCAGAATTGTTGATGACATTTTGAATGATTGTTTAGCTTGTGTTAGTATTTTAGCGTTTCAATTTTAAAATAAAATATGCCATAACTCTCATTACTCGATGATGTAGAAAATGGCTATAACTCTCATAACTCCCACTACTCCACGATGTAGAAAATGACCATAACTCTTTTGTAACTCTTCTCCCATGTTCTACCACTAATTACACACTAATTTTCTCATGTTCTCCATGATATCATAACTTATTATCCCTCTTTCTTCGAATTTAATTCAAGAAAGAATTCTACAACCTATAAATAGGAGTCTTTCTTCCATAATATGGTGTGAAAAAAAATTGTAGAGTGTTTCAATAAAGTGAGGTTAAAGTTGTGAAAATATAAGAAGAGAGTTTTTACTTTTATTGAAGGAAGGTATTCATCTTGGTGGAGCTTTGGACCCAACAACTTGTCCAGAGTTTGTTCGAGTCATATGACGTGATCAGGTTGATGTATCTTGGGACACAAGTCAAGAGGATTACTGCTGGACCGGTGAAGGATTTGCTGCAGTGGGCTTGAATAGAGCGAGAGATATCCGCGCAGCCAGAAGATATTTTATTTTCTTCATTTTATTTTTCAGCTGTAATTATATTTTCACCAACATTTTCAGGAGATTAAAATGGCTACAGTTGAAAAATCCGCGGATATCAAGGTGAGAGATCTCAACAAGCCATTCTGTTTCAATGGTACTCATTTCAAGAGATGGAAGGGTAAAGTACTTTTTTATTTGAGTCTTCTCAATGTTTCTTACGTTTTAACTGAGAAAAATCCAAGCAAAGTAGACAACTCCTCCATGAATGATGATGAGCTAATTGCCCTTCAAGAAAAAATTACAAAATATAACGATGATTCATACAAGTTTCGGTGTTATCTTCTTAATTGTCTATCTGATAATTTTTATGATTATTATGATAGAACTTACTCTACTGCAAAGAAAATTTTGAAAGCATTGCAGAGTAAATATGATACCGAGGAGGCAGTGCGAAAAAATATGATGCTAGCAGATTTTTTCATTCTCAAATGGTGGATAACAAATCTATAGTAGACCAAGCTCAAGACTACATAATGATCGTTGGAGAGCTCAGGTCCGAGGATGTTAAAATTGGAGACAATATTATTGTTTGTGGCATAATAGACAAACTTCCACCTTCATGGAAGGAATTTCAAAAAAATATGCGTCACAAACAAAAGGAAACTTCACTTGAGACGTTGATAATGCGGATTTGCATGGAAGAAGAGGCCAAGATGCACTTATGCAATCAGAAGAGAGCACTCTACAACCCGTCACTACAAAGGTAAATTTAATTACTTCAAATAATATTACTCCTGTAACTCACGAAAATAATTCTTTGAAGCCGAAGAAGAAGACTTTTAAGAAAAATTATGGTAGACCTCCCAAGAAGAATAATGGTGCAAATAATCAAGCACAGAATCAACAAGTTCAAATTGCGAACCATGCTTTGTTGGTGGCAAAAGTGGGCATATTGCTCAATTTTGCAAATTTCGGAAACGTGGTCCTACACCACAGGCAAACGTTACCGAAGAGCCACTTGTGGCGGTGATAACAGACATTAACATGATAGAAAATGTTGATGGATGGTGGGCTGATTCTGGAGCAAACCGTCATGTTTGCTATGATAGAGATTGGTTTAAAGTGTATACTCCATTTGAGGAGCCCAAAACCATCATGCTTGGTGATTCTCACACAACCCAAGTGCTTGGAAAGGGAGAAGTCGAGTTGAAGTTTACTTCAGGAAGAGTATTAACATTGAAAGATGTACTTTATACTCCTTATATGAGAAAAAATTTGATGTCTAGTTTTCTTCTTAACAAAGCAGGCTTCAAACAAATTATTGAGAGTGATCAATATGTAATAGTGAAAAAAGGTATTTTTGCGGGTAAGGGGTATGCATGTGATGGGATGTTCAAGTTGAATGTTGAGATGAATAAAACTTCTTCTAGTTCTGTTAATATGGTTTCTTCTACTAATTTTTGGCATGCTCGTTTGTGTCATATTAATAATCGTTATGTGGGAATCGTGAGTCGTTTAGGATTAATCCCAATGATTAAAAAAAATTAAAAAATGTGAGGCTTGTAGTAAAGCTAAAATAACTAAAAGGCCTCATTTCCAAGTTGAAAGAAAAACTGAATTGTTAGAATTAGTTCACATTGATATGTGTGAACTTGGAAGAATTTTAAATCGTGGAGAGAATAGGTATTTTATCAATTTTATTGATGATTTCTCTAAGTACACATATTTTTACTTGATGAAAAATAAAAGTGATGCGTTTGAAAATTTTAAAAATTATCTCCATGAGGTTGAAAATCAATTCGGTAGAAAAATAAAAAGAATTAGAAGTGATAGAGGCCGTGAATATGAGTCTAATGAATTTAATTCTTTTGTTAGATCATTGGAAATAATTCATGAAACTACTCCACCTTATTCTCCTGCATCAAATGGTGTGGCTGAAAGAAAAAATAGAACTTTGGTAGAGTTAACTAATGCCATGCTTATTGAGTCAAATGCACTTTTAAATTTGTGGGGTGAAGCTATTTTGACTGCATGTTATGTGTTTAATAGGGTGCCTCATAAGAAAACAAAATTGACACCATTTGAGTTGTGGAAAAATCACAAGCCAAATTTGGGCTATTTGAGAGTTTGGGGTTGTTTAGCCTATGTTAGGCTAACGGATCCTAAAATTATAATTGGGTAAAAAAGTTACGACTTTTGCTTTTCTTGGTAATGCTTCCGATAGTATAGCTATAGATTTTTAAATCTTGAAGAGAATATAATTATAGAATCAGGTGATGCTATTTTTCATGAAAATAAATTTTCATTTGAGTCTAAAAATAGTGGGGCTCAAAGAGATAAAGATAAATTTTTTGTCTATACCTAGTTCTTCTACTTCTATTTTGCAAAATGAAGACAATGATGCTTTTGAGTTAAGAAGAAATAAAAGAACTAGAATAGAAAAAGATTTTGGTCCTGATTTTTATGTTTCTAATATTGAAAATTACCCTCTTACTTTACAAGAAGCTTTATTATCACCTAATGTTATTTTTTGGAAAGAGGCTGTAAATGATATAATGGAGTCACTAATTTCTAATAAAACTTGGAAGTTGGTTGATTTACCACCAGGTTGCAAAACAATTGGGTGCAAATGGGTCCTAAGAAAAAAATTAAAATCGGATGGATCTGTTGATAAGTCTAAGGCTAGGTTAGTTGCTAAAAGTTTTAAGCAACTAGAAGGCCTAGAATTTGTTGATACTTTTTCTCCAATAACTAGAGTTACATTCATTAGACTTTTAATTGCTATTGCTGCAATTTTGATTTTCATATTCATCAAGTGGATGTAAAAATTACTTTTTTTAAATGGGGACCTAAATGAAGAAATTTATATGGATCAACCTGAGGTTTTATAGAAGCAGGCCAAGAAAGTAAAGTGTGTAAATTTACTAAATCTCTATATGGCTTGAAACACACACCTAAGAAATGGCATGAAAAGTTTGATTCCTGCATGATTGAAAATGGTTTTAAATCAAATGAGTGTGATAAGTGCACCTGTCATAAGTCTTGGAATAATTCACATGTAATTGTTTGCCTCTATGTTGATTATTTGGTATTATTTGGCTCTAACATGAATGTTATTGGAGAAACTAAAAGCATGCTTAGTAGCCATTTTGACATGAAAGATTTTGTTGAGGCAAATTTCATTCTTGGAATGAAAATTACTAGAATACGTGATGGAATTTTCCTTGACCAGTCACATTATGTTGAGAAAATTTTGAAAAGAATATAATTTTATTGATTGCAATCATGTTGTAACCCCTTTTGATTCAAGTGTTCACTTATTTCCTGTACAAAGTGACAATGATGTGATAAATCAAAAAGAATATGCTAGCCTAATCAGAAGCTTGAGATATGTGACTGATTGTCCTCGGCCTGATATTGCATACGCAGTAGGAGTACTTAGTAGGTTTACAAGTAAGCCAGGTAGTGAACATTGGCATGGCATAACAAGAGTTATGAGGTATTTACTTAGTACAAAACCCTATGGCTTTTTTATAAAAAATATCATGCTGTACTCGAAGGCTTTTCTAATGCAGATTGGAGCTCTTTATGTAGTGATTCATGTTCTACTACAGGTTATATTTTTACTTTGGGGAGGGGAGGGGTGTTATTTGTTAGAAATCAAAAAAGCAAACAATAATTGCTAACTCTACCATGGAGGCTGAGCTAATTGATTTAGCTTCAGCTAGTGAGGAAGCGAATTGGTTGAGAGATTTATTATTTCAAATTCCTTATTTTGAAAAACTAATTCCTCCTATTTTGATTCATTGTGATAGCACTGGTGCAATTGGTAGAGTACAAAACCATTATTACAATGGTAAATCCAGACCTATGAGAAAAAAACATAGTACTATGAGATCATATTTGACAAGCGGTACCATTAATATTGATTATGTTAAATCTTGTGATAATCTTGCAGATCCACTGACTTGTCACGATCCAAAACTCAACCCGTCCGTGATGGCGCCTATCGTGGAACTAGGCCAGCCTCAACTCAACCATAACAATACAACAACAATAAGTTTGAAAAACATTTAACGGAAGCTTTGAACATTTAGAGGAAATTGTTTGATCATAGGAATTCCCAAATAAGATACAACTGCCCAAAACCAGGGTGTCTCTGAGTACATGAGCATCTAAAGGAAAACATAGTCTGTTACAACATTCAAGGAAACAGACTGAAATACATCTAGAGATAGAGATGAAGAGTCAAGGCATGTGTTGTCGTGCAGATATCTCAATAATCTCCTAAGCCTGAAGCCTCGACCAACAACCGCCACTGGGTCCAAAAGTGTCTAAATCTGCACACAAGGTGCAGGGGGTAACGTGAGTACACCCACTCAGTAAGTAAC